ACAAAGCTACACAGAGAAACCCTGTCTCGAAAACAAACAAACAAACAACAACAAAAAAACTATAAGCAGCTAAAAATTAGAAATCTTATTGTTTCACCTGAGTTTAGCCAGTATAGACATAAAATCCTATAGCTTGCTTTATTTTGTGTCAGGACTAGAACCAGCTTTAAGAGATTTAAATAGGTCCAGGGAAAGGATCCCCTCTCAGTGCCCAACTGAATCAATTTTCATCTGTTCCTCTTTCAGAGAATCTCCATCGGACTTTTGGTAAGTTCAGACATATCCCAACCCTCCCAAGTCACTGTGGGATTTCACTTGTGGCCTGGGGAACTAGGACCAGTGGCTCTTAGGTAGGTCCCTCCACCTTTATTCTTTGCATTTAAGATCTATAGAAGCCGGGCGGTGGTGGCGCACGCCTTTAATCCCAGCACTCAGGAGGCAGAGGCAGGCGGATCTCTGTGAGTTTGAGGCCAGCCTGGGCTACCAAGTGAGTTCCAGGAAAAGGCGCAAAGCTACACAGAGAAACCCTGTCTCAAAAAACCAAAAATAAAAAATAAAAAATAAAAAATAAAAGATCTATAGGAATATAGCAAAAACTTATGTATCACATTCTAGTGTCAGGCACTACACTAAATTGCACAAATGTAAACTTCTTATATATATGTTTTCATCTTGTGAATTACAAAAGGTAGATAAACAGATCCTTTGCACATAAACTTGGTTGCCTAGTTGGAAAAATATATATATACTTGAACAAGACACAACTACTGGAACTAAAGACATGGCTCAGTGGTTAAAAGCACTTGCTGCTCCTCTAGAGGACCTAAGTTCTATTTCCTGACCCACAGAAGACATTTTTTTTTTTTTTTTGGTTTTTTTTCGAGACAGGGTTTCTCTGTGTAGCTTTGCGCCTTTCCTGGAACTCGCTTTGGAGACCAGGCTGGCCTCGAACTCACAGAGATCCGCCTGGCTCTGCCTCCCGAGTGCTGGGATTAAAGGCGTGCGCCACCACCGCCCGGCCACCTTCTCTTCTTAATGCCCACCCCATCTCCACCCTTCCAGCCTTTCAGGGTCCTTCAACTACTTGTGTCCAGGGTTTTAATGAATTGTCAAGGTTTTTCTCATTTCTTTCTCTTCCAGATTTCCCCATTTTTTGTTGTGGGCCTGAAGCCCCAACCCTCCTTCTAAAAAAAAATGTATTTATTATGTACACAATGTTCTGCCTACATGCCAGAAGAGGGCACCAGATCAAATTATAGATGGTTATGAGCCTCCATGTGGTGGCTGGGAATTGAACTCAGGACCTCTGGAAGAGCAGCCAGTGCTCTTAACCTCTGAGCCATCTCTCCAGCCCCCAACTCACAGCGGACATCTATATGCACAGGGCACACACACATAAATGAGAAAAAAAAGATTTTTTGAAACATGGTGTTACTATGTAACCCTGGCTAACCTGAAATTCACTATGTAGATCAGGTTGGTCTTGAACTCACAGAGATTTACCTGCCTCTGCCTCCCCAGTGTTGGGACATATGCTGCCATACCCAGAAAATTATATTTTTAAAAAGCCATCTACTACACTTATATGGCAGTTAGTTTTCATGAGTACAACCCAAGCACACTATCAGAGAAGGCTTCTCTAAGGAAGAAGTAAAGCCGCACTCGTACCTTTTCTGAGTAAGGGCTCATGTGGCTCAGGCTGGCCTCAAACTCTCTATGTCATGAAGGATGGCCTTGGGCTTCTGATCCCTCTGCCTTCACCTCCCAAGTGCAGGTAAATACATATGCAGCCATGCATGCACCAACTAGAATATTAATCCCTCAAGAATGGTCTTTGCATTTTCTTTACTTCAGATTGCACAGTTCCTAAGGACAACACCAACAACAGAATACCCAAATGTTTGTTGAATAAATTCCATACAAATTAGAAAACAGCACTAAGCAGAGCACAGAAAATTCCTGCTCTGAGCAATCTTCCTAAACAGCCTTTCTTTCTGAGGCCAAGAGTAACCCTGTTCAATTCTCCTGGCATCTGGCACAGAGGACCCCACCCTAGCATCTGACAGTGGGCTAGTGTGTGGGTATCACACACGTAGTCTTTGACACACACGTAGTCTTTGAACATCCAAAGAAAAATAGTTATTTTTTAATGTGTGCGTGTGCGTGTGCGTGTGCGTGTGCGTGTGCGTGTGTGTGTGTGTGTACACGTACGGTTGTAGGGGGTGAGTGGGTGAGTGTGGGCAGGTGCTAACATAGAGGTCAGAGGATAATCTGTAGGACTTGGTTCTTTCCTTCCATCATGTGGGTTCTGGGGATCAAACTCAGGTCTTCAGGCTTAGCAGCAAGTGCTACCAACTAAGCCATCCTGCTGACCCCATTCACTTTATTTTGAGACAGACTGTCATGTATTTCAGGCTGGCCTCAAATTTGCTACATAGCCAAAGATTACCTTGAATTTTGATCCCCCTGCCTCTACCTCCTGTGTTCTAGGACTAGAGGTGTGAACCACCAAGCCTAGTGCATGCTGTGCTGGGGATGGAACTCAGAGTTCCGTGCATGAAAGGCAAGTTACAAGAATGTAGCTCTACAAACTGAGCTACATTCCCAGCCCCCAGGACTTTGCTTATAAGATTTGAATGTCTAAATTCTTAACCATTTTTGTATCTTGAAATCATACAGCCAGTGCTAATACTGTGCGTTTTTGAGAATTGATCCCAGGGGCCTCAACATGTGAGATGAGCACTCATTCTACTGAACCACATCCCTACCTAGCCTGCTGCTTGCCTTTTTACTGTAAGAAAACCTTAGGAATAGCCAGATTGGTGGCCTGTAATCCCAGTACCTGGGAGGCTGAGGCAGGATTTCTTAAGTTCAAGGCCACGCATGGCAAGACACCCTATCTCCGAAAAAGCAAACAAAAATGCTAGGGATGGGGGTGAGGAAGAGTTAGTGAGTAGCTGAATATAAACAATGTGTCATGCAACCCATTTTTTTGTATGCTAAATAAAATCAGCTAAAAAGGAAAAGCTAAATTCAATTAGAAGTTAATGAAAATAAAAACAGTGCACCTCATCCAAATTCATGGACTCTGTAGTTTGTCCCCAGAGTCCTTTGGTGTTTGAGGGCTTCAGGTTTAAGAATGGGTACGGTATAGAGGGAAACACTCTGTTCTGTTCTACCATTCAGATCCTCACTTCCTGAGGGTGCCCTGCTGGAAGATAACACTGTTTGTTATTGTGCCTGTTCTTGGACCCCTGGTTGCCTTGATCATCTGCTACAACTGGCTGCACAGAAGACTAGCAGGTGTAGTGTCTGGGCAGCAAACAGAACCACTATGCAGCAGGGAACTCAGGCAGACCATAATGGGAAAGAGTGGAACCAAGGTTCTACATTCCAGGGCTGGGATTGCCTTTCTCCTGTGTCCCCATGCTCACCATCAGAATTCTCAGAAAAACTGAGAACCACTTAATGAGGTGCATGGGTCCCTTAGTGGAAGGGGAGGGTTGTCTAGGGAGGATATGAGGTGTTGTTGTGGGGAATCTCCTGCTGATCACCCACCTACTCATTTTTCTTTGTTTGCAGGACAGTTTCTTGAAGAACTAAGTAAGTTCTCCCCAATACCCCTTTCCATTCTTGAGATCAGTCTCAGGATGCGCCTCTGGAACTCACTATGTAGACCAGCCTGGTCTGAACTTAGGGCAATCCTTTTGCCTCTATTTCCAAGTGCTAGGGTCACAGGCATGTGCCACCATACCCAACCTTTCTCCTTTCTTCTAAACTGAACAAGAAAACCAGCATAGGGAAGATGATTAATTACTGAGGGACCATAATCCCAGGAAGGACAGGACAGGAAGGACCTCCTCTCCTGTGAGGGAATGGGAAAGGGAATAACAAGTTTTCAGTGCCAGAGAGGCTTAGCCACTCTTACCTGCTGACTTAACATCTTCCAGTGCCCCTTGGCCAGAATCCCACTTCTGCAGTCTACTTTGACATTCTCCATAATAGTTTTCCTGAACCTCATCTTCAAGACCAACCTAGGGGGTGGGAGAGGCAGAGATAACATGACCCCTGGGGACTGTCTCCTAGGTTCAATGACTTCATGAAAGAAACCACTGGCAGGTTTTTGATCTTGTCTTTCTTCTAGGAAACCCCTTTTGAGTCATCAACTTCCTGGAGCAAAGGAGAGCCTGGTAGGCCAAGAGACAGGTCGCTGGGGATGTCTCTCATTGGCCTCTCTGCCATAGGCACTTTCCAATCTGCATCTACAGAAACACTCTGGATTCCAAATAGAATTTGATTTCTCTTTGACTGTTTTCCTTTCCTCAGCTCCTTCCTTCCTCTAATTTTTGCCTCCCGTATCTTTTTACTCCTGCCTCAGTCTCCCTCCAGAAAGTACCCCATGGCTAAGGCCAGACCGTCTATCAGAAGACACCTGTGTACCAGAGTAATACAGGAGTGATTCTGTCAAACAGGATATCCAGCACCTCATTATAAACTACAGAACATCAACTGTGCAAATGGTGGATGTTTATTCCAAGACCACAGCAGAGCCCACAATACTGGGGAAGCTAAGTGAGCCAGTGTATGACTATGGAGCCTGAACCCAAACCCGGAGATGGGATCTAAAGAACAGGATCAGAGCGCCATGCTTGGGCAGCCTGTGGATGGGAGGAGCTTGAGGAACAAGGGTTGAGAATTGGGTATCCTGTCTTTTCCCTTCTACTTCCCTGTGTCCTTTGTACTCCCGCCTCTCATTTTCTCCTGTCCTCATTCCTCTCAGAATACCCACTGTTTTATCAACAACTACTACTTGATGGTCTACCAGACACAAACAAGCTAGGTGCTAATTAATAATACAAGTTTCTCTGTGCACACTTCCATTCCTCTTCCTCGTTGAGTCTTTCATCATCCACTCACCTCTCCTGTTCAAACCTCCTGAGCCCAGAGGCCAGTCTTCAGAAAAACCAAATGCCAAGACTGAGATGATCCCCTTCTTTTAGTTTTAAAAATTATATTTATTTTGTGGGGGTGGGGAGAGATGTGAGGGGTGGGACATGTGTGAGGTCAGGAATAGGTTCTTTCCTTCTGTCACAATGGTCTCAGGGCTCAAATTCAGGAGGTCAGACTTGAGTAGCAAGCTCCTTTGGCCACTAAGCCATCTCACCAGCCCCAAACAGGTCTTTTATTTATGCTTCAGGATTCTCACTGCATGCTTATTTCATCTTGTCTTCCTGGATTGGATTTCATTTTTTCATTCATCCTCCTCCGAGGACTCCTCTACTGTTGAAGTATTTCCCAGACACAAGGGTTCATAAAGAAAGCCAAGCAAATGACCCAGGATTGCCCAGCACTTAATGGGTCTGCCTGATCTCTTACAGCACAAGTGATCCAGCAGGCTTTCCTTTCCCCTAAAGCAGATATCACAGATGGGGCAACAGTAGATATTTTGCTTCCTGTGGGTGTTCCGGTGGGAGCCTATCATCACAGACGACTGGGAGGACTCCTTGCAACTTAAGTATTGGTTGGGCTGATTTTTGAAGTGGAACTTGAGGTGGGTTAAGAAATAGGTCTTCCTGGTTAAACGTACTGAACAATAGGGGCAGCGGATCTTTCTTCTAGAGCATCTCACTGGAATAGGGTTGGATCTGACATCCAAGGATGAGGCTCTGCTGTTCCTTGTCTTAGTCCTGGCCACTGGTCCCTGGATCACTTTTGAGTGCCTGAGGATGGGAGCCTGGGATCTAGGTGATGTACGTGGAGCCTTCACCTTACGCTCCTGGCTGCTAGCCACTGGCTTCCTGTTTTGGTGTACCTTCATGTGGCGTTTGACCTCAGACTGATCCCGGAAGCGTTTTCCACACACAGAGCATGAACTGGGCCTATAACCTAAATGAGTACGTCGGTGACGGCTCAGTCCAGAGGCATCACGGTAATTCTTGTCACAGAGCTCACAAGCGAAAGGTCTCCCTCTACGATTCTGGGGCTTGGAGCCGAGGGCTTTGTGGCCAGTAGTCTGCTGGGCCTTCAAAGGAAACTGGTGATTAAAGACGTTGGTGTACTTTTTGTAACATTTGCCACAGGTCAGACAGAAATAGAGAGGTCCACCTTTGAATATCCCTGTGCAAGCACGAGAGGTCTTCTCTTCATCATCTCTCTCCTCATCTTCCAGGTTTGAGCTAGGTTTTTGAGATTTTCTCTTGCGTCCTGTGGTAGAGGAAGCAAAATACAGTTTAACATGACAACATCACCAACACAAGATTTTCACTCAGTGCAAGTCACTTTCCATTTTCCTAACCTTCAAAACTCAACCGTTCATCCTTGGGTCTTATAGGATAGAAATAGGAAAAAAACAATAAATAAAAACAATAAAAGCTAGTAAAAATTTGGGGGCTGGAGAGATGGCTCAGAGGTTAAGAGCACTGGCTGCTCTTGCAGAGGTCCTGAGTTCAATTTCTAGCAACCACATGGTGGCTCACAACCATCTCTAATGAGATCTGGTGCCCTCTTCTGGCGTGCAGGTATACATGCAGGCAGAACAGTGTATACATAATATATAAATAAATTTCATAGAAATCTCCTATGACCTCAAATATCTAAATGCTAGCTTACATCTTTGAAATCCATCTTCTCATTCTCAATATTGCTCATATTCCCACAGATGACAAGACCATATGGTAAGCAATAATCTCCCCTCATCCCTGATTTCACATGTGTCAGCCAGTTCAAAAATATTAAAGGGAGAATTCCCTACTGTAAGACCACATTCACATAACTTTTTTTTTTTTTAATTTTTTTGGAGCTGAGGATCGAACCCAGGGCTGTGCTTGCTAGGCAAGCGCTCTACCACTGAGCTAAATCCCCAACCCTCACATAACTTTTTAATGTAGATTATAATTAATCTATTTTATTAGTATTTTAGTTTAGTTTATTACTGTGTCTAGTATAAAAAACAGAACTCAGGGGCTGAGGATGTAACTCAGTAGTAGAGCCCTTGCCAAGTATATGCAAAGCCCTGGATTCAATTCCCAGCTCTGTAAAAACAAAAAAACACATAAATTGGGCCCAGTGCTATGTGTGGTTGTAGCTTCTGAAACAAAACCCCTCAGAATAGAAAACTTTATCCCCAGTGTTGGGGAGGCAAACCAGGCATGCAAGTGCTCCCCCAGTCAGCTACATCTCCAGTCCAAGGAAGACTATTTGTCTTGTAAATCTTGGGTGAAAAGTGATGGTATTAATTATTAGTAATTGAACTGGGATAAAAAGCAACACAGCACAACTGTCTCAGACCAGGTATGTGGCCACCCTAAATTATTCCTCTCAATTCCTCACTCTTATCTCAGGAACAAGCCTACCCTTCTCAGGCTCAACATTGCTTATTCACTTTCTCTTGGGAAGAAACTGTTAATCAAAGGTTAATCCTGACATAAGCGACCCACATGTAATCTCTCAATTCCTAGAAACTAGATTCCTTGTTTTGAAAGTCCTGGCTATTCATCATGAAGTCAGTGGACCTAAACCTTTGATCTCAAGGTTTCTTCCAGTCCCAGGTCTAATCAGGATGGAAAGGTATAAAGACATTGAGATGATACACTGAGCCTGGATCCTGGAGGACAATTCTATGATTGTCCTCGGCCCTTTTTACCTTCCTCTCTCCTTTGCATTTTTTTTCAACTTTGAAATTACCCCTTTATTATTTCTGTATTCATGCGTGCATGTATATACATGCTACAACATGCTTATGGAAGTGAGCAGATAACTTGTGGGATTGGTTCTTCCTTCCAAGTATATGTCAAATTCCAACTGTGAGCCTTGGTGGCAGGGCACTTTTAACCACTGAACCATTTTGCTGGCCCTTGGTTTTGTGAGATGACAGGGCCTCAAATACACCATGAAGCTGAGGTGTTGGGATTACAGATGTGAGCTACCTTACCCTGCTTCCTCTGCTATTCTTACCTGCTGTCTTTGGGGGATGGAAACCTGATCTCCTCCGTCCTTTTCCATTTTGCATGGTGTTCTGATCTGGTTTAGGCAGAAAATATTTTGGCTGTGAGTGGAGTTATATTTTGGGTGGGTGGGAGGCATAGTTTTGTTGTCTTTGTCTCACTGTGCAAGCTGGCTCTGAACTCTCCATTCTTCCGAGTGATGAGATGCACTACCGTGACTGTCTGTAGTGTGGAAATGAAACAAGTTGGTCCCATACTACGCCCCTTATTTATTTTGCAGAGAACAGGCAACCTCTTACGTGCCTGCTTTAAGAACATCAATCTAGGGCTGGAGAGATGACTCAGCAGTTTAGTGCACTTGTTACTCTGTGGAGGATCTGGATTTTGTTACTAGTAACCACATGGTGGCTTACAACCATCTACAATTCCAGTTTCAGGGGATCCCGTACCCTCTTCTAACCTCTACGGATACCAGGCACACAAATAGTGTACACACAAACATGCAAGTAAAACATTTATATACATAAAATAAACCCAAAAAATATGGGGTTTTGTTTTTAAGGAAGATTAATCTAAAACACTTGGTTGAAGGAAAAAAGATATTTTAAAAGGCAGCTTCTAATATAATGCCTTGCACACAAGACTAAGTAAATATTGGTTGGATATACAGGCAGGTGTTTTTTTGAGATAGTTTCACTATATAGTCCAAGATGGCCTCAGTCTCTCTAACCAATTTGTGATCCTCCTGCATCAGCTCCAGAAGTGTTGGGATTATAGGCTTTTGTCAACAAACCAGGTCTGAATAAGCAAATTTGCATATTTTCACAATATGGTGATAGTGATAAAAGTGTGTCTTGGGGTTGGGGAAGTAGCTCAGTAGATAAAATGTTTGCCATGCAATCATGAGTGCTTGAGTTTGATTCCCAGAACACACAAAAAGGCCAGGTGTAGTGGTACTTGGATGTAATGCCTGTGTCTGGAAGCAGGGACAGGCAGATCCTTAGGGCTCACTGGCCAGTTAGCCTAGCTCTATCAGTGAGTTCCAAATTAGTGAGACTCTACCAGAAACAAACAAAAAAAAACCAGCGTGGGTGGTATCCTGAGGAATGAAGGCTCAAAGTTGACCCTGGCCTCCATGTGAACACGTAAGTGTACCTACACATATATGCACACACAAAAAAAACATTATCTTTGTCTTTCTACAGGGTGTTTTTGTTTTCAGGTTTATTTTAATTTGTTTTGTGTGTGTGTTGAGTGTTTTGCCTGCATGTATATACGTATGTATACCACATACATGCCTGGTGCCCACAGAAGTCAGAAAATGGTGTGGGACCACTGGAACTGGAGTTACAAATGTTTGTGTGCCATCATGTGGGGGCTGCAAACTGAACTCAGGTCCTCTGTAAGAACAACAAGTGCTCTCTTAACTCCGGAGCCACCTCTCTGGGCCTATGTAGCTTTTTTGTTTTGTTTTCCCGTGTAGTCCAGGCTGGCCATAAAGCTGCTATGTAGCTGAGAATCACCCTTGACCTATGGTCTTCCTACCTCCACTTCCACACCCAGCTCATCATATTAAGTCTTCATTTCTTTGATTTTTACCCCTGAACTTCGTAACTCAGATCTTCCAGGTACAGAACTAGGAGCCAACTTTGATCTACCTGAGCAAAAAAATCAAATACATATTCTAAGGCTACAGAACAGGGAGAGTACCAAGGGAGTCATGATCTCTTACCTACAAATGTCAGGTTCTTAAAGGTTTCTGACAACACATTCTGGTAAACAGCCTTCTGCTTCTCAGTCAGACATTCCCACTCTTCCTGGGTGAAATCCACTGCCACGTCCTCGTAAGTGATTGGTATCTGGAGTGGCTGGGAAGACTTGAGAATGTAAATACATAGACTTCAAGTGACTGAGATAACACCATCTTGCCCTGACTTTGTGCCTGCTTAGGGACCCTCTAAACAGTTACATCAGCCTTGGCAACACATTCAGGATTTTCTATGATCCTGACCATAGCCCAAACTCATAACCAAGTATCTGAAATGTGTAGCCAAAGCAATATTACCAGGTTCCCCTAACCTATTCCTGACAATGTGGTTTTTGTCTGTACCCAAGCTTCTATGCCAAGAGTTTTTCCAAGGCGCTAGCCTGCTCCTGGTCACCAGCTTAAATGAAGGACTCCTATTTGGCCTTATATGCATGGCAGTGTGTAATGTTCTCATCTGGACTATAAAATACTGACATAGTCTCAAGATTTAGAGAATTCAAACCTAAGAGAAAGATAATGCCATGAAAGAAAAGAACAAGTATGAAGAAGGGCACAAAGTCAGGAGCTGTGGTTTACAGAAAGGAGAGGATGGATACAAAGAAGGAAATCACTGAATATAGAGAAGTGAAAAAATTAATGGCTACTCTTACAAAATCTGTGAAGAATGCTAGGGTGGTATGGGAGATAGACAAATCTTGTAATTCCCTTTTTCCCCCCGTTTGGCCTGGAACAATCTGAAGTTCCACTAGATCCACAGACAGGGAACTGGGTAAGAAACCTCAGAGAGACCGTGGCCTTGCATTTCTCTACCTGATCTTTCTCCCTTCCACTGTCGGACTTCACTGGTAATCTTGTTATATGCATGTGTGTCTTCCTCTACCTTAGTTTTTTGAGAAATCTCTCATTGATCCTGGAGATCACCAATGCAACAAGAGTTATCTGGCCAGAAGGCCTCTGGGATTATCCTGCTGCAACTAGTTTCTTGTGGGATTTATTTTGTTTTGTTTTTATGTGGAGACTGAACATTGGGCCCTCATGTTTGTACAAGTACTTTACACATGAGCCATCCCTATCTCCTCTACTATAATCTATCTTCTGGGCTCCTGTAGAGCAGCTAACATGCTAACTATTCCACGGAGCAGTATGTCTTTAGTTGTTTCTCTTTCTGGTTTCAGTCACTTCTGGTCTGGTCCCCAAGATTAATGGGACTCCTTGTGACTCTCTACCTCCCAGGCACTAGGCAAATAGGGAGGTCCTATGTGGTGACACTTTATTTGTGCTGAAATGTGGTGATATTTTATTTGTATGTTAATAAATAAAGTTTGCCTAGAGATCAGAAGACATAGCCAGCCCATAAACAAAAGTCAGGCAGTGGTAGCACATGCCCTTAATCCCGATCACATGGGAAGCAGAGTCTGTGTGTGTTCAAGGACACACTAGGGAACAACTAATCATGGTGACACACGCCTTTAATCCCAGTACCAACCATAGAGACCTGGAGGTCTGTACAGACAGGCAGTTACAAGGAAGTGAGGTTGCTGGGCTAAGAGTCAATGAGAGGGCAGAACAGCAAGGCAAGATGGTTCTTCAGGTTCCTGCTCCACAGAGGAAACTGCCAGACATTCTACAGGACACAGAGAAGCAACTGAGAGACTCTAGGCCTGTTGGCTGAAGAACGGATGCCCTAATGTTACAGAAGAACTTTGGATGACTGTCCAGGCAGCCAGCTATCTCTGTCATTCTAGATTTTTGGAAGTTGCTTACAATGTACTTGCTGGTTACTTAGGTAATATTATATCCTTCTGAGGTCTTTGATGTAGTTGAAGACTAGTTATAATTTTGCTTAGTTATGATAAAAGATAAATTAGATATGAAACTTTACTCACAAATATAGGATAGATAGAATATTTTCTTTAATTTTACAAAATACAAATAGACTAGATATTGTAAGTCTTGCTTTTTAACTGTTTGTTATATGTAATTATACTATGTTAAAGTTAAACCCTTCCTTTTTGATTAGACAGAAAAGGGGAGGTACTATGGGATGTTCTATATGCTGTGAATGTGTTGCTCTGATTGGTTGATAAATAAAACGCTGATTGGCCAGTAGCCAGGCAGGATGTATAGGCAGAATAAGCAGAGAAGGAGAATTCTGAGGAAAAAAAAAAAAAAAAAGACAAAAAAAAAAACAGAACTGAGGAGGAGATGCCAGTCCACCGTCCAGGAAGCAGCATGTAATGGCACACAGGTAAAGTCACGGAACACATGGCAACATATAGGTTAACAGAAATGGGTTGAGTTTAAGTGTAAGAGCTAGTAAGTGGTAGGCCTGAGCTACTGGCCGAGCAGTTTTAATTAATATAAGTCTCTGTGTGTTTACTTGGGTCTGAGCAGCTGCAGGACCAGGTGGGACACAGGAAAACCTTCACCTACAGTCCTATAAGGCCCCAGCAAATGATACTGCTTCTTGTAACAAAACTGTCTACTCTAAAAGACTGTCTTCCTTCAGTGTTCAGCTGTACAAATTCTCCTCTTTCACAAGTGATAGCTTTAGTTCCCTCAAAGCTCAGGCTGTAGAGTTCAGGGCTCTAGTTACCTGTTTCTTAGCTCCCATTGTTTGGTAATGCCAGGCTGGTGCTGGGTGTTTGAAGGTTATTCCAGACTGCTTCTAGTCACTGCTTGTTGGTGCCCACTTCTAGAAATCTGAGGTTAGGGAAAAAGATACAATATCAGGAAAAGGAAAGCAAGAAGCCAGTGCTTCCTTAACACACAGTCACTAACTTCCTGCACTGTGACGGAACCTTCTCAGCAGTGCCATTTGAGGTAACAGTTAATGATTCCATCTTCATAAACCTCAAACGTAGTGATGTTAAGTCATTCACTCAAGGACATTTGACCAACGGGGGAGTTAGTTTTTTTAATTCTAGATTCAGTACCACTGAAAAGTACATACTTGAATTTGTCACACACCATTGATCCTGTTTTCATTCTCCCTGACTTGATTTCATTGGAAACATGAAAGTAAATCTCTCTCCTAGGACCAAAGATTAAAACATAGATTCTGTGACCTGAATATGTGTGTGGTGCCTTGGGGCTCAGGCCCAGGGGCTTGTGGATACTAAGCAGGTAATGTACCACAGAGCCTTATGTATACCTCAAGCTCTGTTAGATTTTTGTATACATACGTTATTTACAATCGAGCTATCCCCTGACGACCTCTTAAGCTAAAGATACGATTAGGTCAGAAATGCAGGTAATGCACCTAGCCTACAGAACCTCATAACTTAGTAACACAGCACACTGTAGGGTGTTGTTTCCCTCCTAATCTGCTAGCTGTCTGGAAACTGCAGCCTGTGACTACTGTCCTGCATGAAGAGACATCAGAGTATCCTACGTACTAGTGCTAGTCTAGGGACAAGTTACCTCAACCCCCAAATACAAGCTGAGTGAATGTGCAGGACTTCCCGTTATCTTGAACCATCTTAAGTCTTGGCATCGTGAGTCAGGTATCACTTCTACAACCAGATCCTTGGAAAGCACAGTGATACTAATACAACAGCATTCCTTGTTCACATGCAAAATTTTATGCTGATTAAAAAAACAAAAAAGGTCTCTTCCTGTGGACAGCCATTCACCTACTTCTCCTCTCTCTAGATGCTAAGGAAAGCATTAAAGGCATAAAAACATGTCATTCTCTCTTTTCCTCTCACTTCTTTGGTTAAGTGAAAACACCGGCAAGGAACAAGGCATTCGAGGAATTGCTAACTGGATCCCCAAGAAGTTGCCAGGAAAGCTGCATTCCTAGGATCTGAAGCTGATTTTCTTCCTTCCTTCTCTGTCTTACCTCCCATTCCCCTCTCCCTTTCTTTTAAGACTCTGCTTGAGATGGGCAGATCTAGCATCTCTCCCATTTTTCAGCCATCCACACTCCAAACAGCTCTACACTAGTGTTTCCAAGGACCTGCCCGTAAGTTGTCTTCACAATGGCAGGAAGATGCACATCTGGTGACCCAGCCTATTACCCAGGCACCAGGAAGACAGAGACAGATCTCCATGAGTTCTGGGCAGCCTGGACTACAAAATAAGTCTCAGAAAACAACACACACACACACACACACACACACACACACACACACACACACACACACACACACGACAGCAGGGTGCAGTCCTTGGTACAGATTTAGGCTGCTTAAGAAGACTGCCAAGCATTGCTTACCTCCCCACCCACCTCCTCCCTCTTAATTTACCTCCTTTTGTACTTTCCTGGTCCAGGAGACTCCAGAGTGGAAGGAGACCGAATTAAGACTTGGCTGTTAATAGGCAGGAAGTCCCAAGTGGGTTCACCTGTACCCTGGACTGGCCCCTACCCTTCCATAGGGTAAATTTCTGGGGGGGGGGGGGGGGAATGTGCGGGCACTTCTCAATTCGACTCCACTCCTCCCAACTAAAACCCATTCATGATTTCCCAAATCTGAGGAGTCGGCGGGCCGGAATAGCACACACTTGCAATCCCTAAGCTCAGGTGACCGAGAAAAGAAGATCAGGCAGCCTTGCTTACTGCAAGACACCCTGTCTGTCCGCCTCTCTTTCTCTAAATCTGAGTCCCCCGCCTCTCTTCCACGTATACAACCTGTGGAGACAGGCCTGCACACCGAAGGCTTGGCTGGATGTGCCCGGCCCCAGCCCCGAAACCCCCGGGGCTCAGCCGCGTGAGCTTTACCACCGCGTTGCCGGGAGGGGAGGCTTCCCCAAGCTGGTGTGGGTCCCCTCGTGGCTCCACCGGGGCTCTCACAGAGGCCGCAGCCCGACAGTCCCGCGGCCGGCCTACAGTCTTCCCCAGCGCGGGTCCTCCGGGTGGCTGCCCCGGACTGCGCACGCTCACGCCTGAAACTCCGTCCCCCAACCCCCGACCCCCCACCCCGCCCCACCTCCGGAGAACGCAGCTCCCTGAAGGGCGGGGCGTGTTCGAGCCCGGACGGGAATGCAGCGGCGTGAACTCAGGAAGGCGCTTCTGCCCCAAGTCAGCAATTTTCTACGCGGTGGCCACACCTTGACTCGCAGTCCCTGCCCTCCCGCTCGGCCCGTAACCCACCTCGGGTGGCTGCCCGCCAAGGTCAGAAATTTGGATCTTAAGAAACCCAATGCCACGCCTTCTCGCCCCGCCTCCGGTCGATCATGACTAGTCTCACCTGCGCTAGGAAATCCCATTCCCCAGAGTTAAGTATTTACTTCTGAGGGCAGGGAGGGTTCCTGAGCGCGTGACTCAACTTTGCTAATTCCAGTAGTAGGCAGGTGGATAGTGAGTTCCAGGCCAGCCTGGACTACACAGTAAGAAAAACAACAACAAAAACACATAAAAGACACAACCGCTCTCAGCCTCTGAGCATTTTCTTGATTAGTGATTGATGGAAGAGGGCACAGACTATGGTGGGTGGTGCCATCCCTGGGCTGGTGGTCCAGAGTTCTATAAGAAAATAGGCTGAGCAAGCCATGAGGAGCAAGTCAGTAAGCAGCACCTGTCCATGGTCTCTGCATCAGCTCCTGCCTCCAGGTTACTGCTCTGTTTGAGTCCTGTCCTAACTTTCTTCAGTGATGAACGGTGATTTGGAAGTGTAAGCCAAATAAACCCTTTTCTCCCCAACTCGCTTTTTGATCATGGTGTTTCATCACAGCAATAGAAACTTTAAGACAGTACTTATGTGTGTTTTCCAACTCCTAAGCAAATTACTGCAGCCCCAGTGGCTCTGGTGTTGACAGTGTTTAGATCACAAGGCAAGCACAGAAGGACTGAGATCCAACATCTGAATATAGCTGCTGATGCACTCAGTGTAGAATGTTCACTTAACATACAGAAAGCCCTGGATTCCACCCCATTACCACAAACAAGCAAAAATCTAAACATAAATCTATCCAAACTCCAGGCTGACTTCTAAAATAAGTATTCATGAGTGTAGAAAAACCAGACTATGCAGGAGGTCTATCCTTAAAAGGCTGACTCTGTCCTGTTGGGATTTGCAAATCTGCAATCAACAGACATTGAACAGCCAGGTGCTATGGAGTATGTATAATCTCAGCACTAGAGACAGGATTGCAGCACATTTGCCGCCAGCCTAGATTACAGAGAAAGGGTGGGTACAGGGGCTGGAGAAGTGGCTCAGAGGTTGAGAGCACTGGCTGCTCTTCCAGAGGTCCTGAGTTCAATTCTTAGCAACCACATGGCGGCTTACACCATCTGTAAATGAGATCTGGTGCCCTCTTCTGGCCTGCAGGCAAAACACTATACATAATAAATAAATAAATGCATAAATAAATAATAAATCTTTAGGAAAAAAAGGAAGAAAAGAAAAAGAAAGGGTAGGCACAAAAGCCTGAATAGAAACTGGCCGAATCTTACTGATCACCAAATCACACAGATGCAGAACAAACCACTTAAATACCCCATCCCAAAACTGAGTCCAGGGAAAATGAAGCATGAATGTCACCCAAGGCTGACATCATGGGTACAGTCCAGGCAAGTTAACATGCATCTAATAAAACAGCCTGAGGATGTAGCTCAGTGACAGGACATTTTCTTAGTTTATGAGATGTAAGGTCTCAAGTTTGAGGCTTGGCTACATAGGGACAAATTGTCTAAAATAAAAACAAAGAACCAAAACCCACCGTCACCACACAAACAAACAAAAACTGGCAGTGTTAAGAAAAGCCTAATACCGAGTTTCCAGATTTGTCAAAGTATGAAAACTCTGAGATGGAGCACTGGCCGCTCTTGCAGAGGGTTGGGGTTCAGTTCTCAGCAACAACATGGCAGCTCACAACCCTCCACAACGCCAGCTCCAGGGGATCGGACACCTTCTTCTGGCCTCTGAGAGTACCAAACATGTAAGTGGTGCACACGTGTGCATTCAGGCGAAATGTATACCCGTACACATAAAATACAATGAAAATAAAATTTATTTAAAAAATGTTTTTATATCTCTTGCCTCTTTTCCTCCTCTCCCCCTCTCATAACCTGACATTTCAATGGGTCATATCCATGTGAAAAGCGGCACTCTAGCTAGAGAAGGTCCTAAGCATGTCTCCAACTGAACTCACTCCTGAAGCATCGATATCCCCTTCTAGACTTTCCGTGCCCCTTTCTCTCTGGTCTCCACCCACCATTCATTCCTTTTGGCCTCTCTCCCAGTCTCAACGCCTCTATTTTGGCTTCTGGGACCTCCCTGTCTTTCTTGGACAAAGCCCAGGGTGGTTTGGCTCCTCCTCCATCTATTTGTGGAAAGTTCTGGGCTGGTTCCCAGAGGGAGGGAAGTCCCAGCACAATGGGAACTACGGACTAGCTGTGTGGTCAACCTGGAGA